TAAATTCAGGTACAATTACCAAACATATCGCAAGGTCTTTTTGTCTTTTTATTAATTTAATTAATAAACGAATTATATAAAACTATTGTCAGTGCACTACAAATAAACTGGTTCTATGCCTTTATTAATAAAACTTATTTAAAAAATACAATGCCTTCTGCATTTTTGTTTTGCTTTTCCCTCCATTGTACCGAAATCGTACCGAACCGTGATGTCTGAACCGAGGTATGAACCGAACCGTGACTTCTGTGTACCGTTCCACCCCTAATAGCCACAGACAAACCCCACGTGTCTTCACAGCTTTATGCTGATGTATGCCGTGTAAATGAAAGCACTCGAGATTATGTTGCCAGCTTGTGACTGTGGTAACCGAAGAGCGGTGGGTGAGAAACAAGCCTGGAAATGTGATGTTAACACCAATTAAATCTGCAGGTTGAGCATGATGCTCTGAGAGAAGAAGGTCTGACCAGCTGGTCGCACACTCTGACCTTTACACAGCATAGTTTTCTGAAAGAAGCATATTTCACCTTGACTGTCTGTGTGTGAAGGTTAGATCTGACAGCCAGCCTTTTACATAATGTTTCCTGTCACAAATACTGATGTACACAACTGTTCAAAAGTTTGGGGTCCGCAAGATTATCTTTAAAGTCTTTAAAAAATGTCTCTAGTGCTCACCAAGTGTGCATTTATTTGATCAAAAATACATTAAAAGCAGTAATGTTACCCTTTTAAGCGTTTTGGCCATCTATTTACACTATACAATGGTGTTTTGGGGGTCTGAAAACGCAAGTTTTTTTTTTCCTCGTTTAAACGACGAAACCGCGCGTTTTCGATGACGTCATGTGTATTACGTGTAGGCGCGTGGTGTTTCTTGACGTCAACCACACTGGCCTGACATGAATGATACAGCGTTTTAAATCGTTTTCGCGGATCCAAAAATTAGTTTTTTTTTACTACATCGTTGTTGTGTAAACGCACCTTTAATCTCAAACTTTTGAACAGCAGTGTAAATACATAAAACATACAGTGGCCTCAAAAACTGTTTGGCACATTTATTGAACGTCACTGCATTAGGCTACATAACAAAATGTTATCTAACGCAATGAGTGTCCAAAACGAGCTCAAATACTTTTGTATCTGCTGTATTAGGAGAAATATTAACATATTTTAAGGACAAACATTTTCATCAAAATGTTATTTTTAAGCACATTTTTTAAGTGGATATCCTTAGTCCCTGACAATACAGACCGTTGCTATGCAACAAAAATATATTTCATTGGCTTTATACTGTACTCTGCACAAGGACAAAGTTCAATCTAATTTAATAATGTTTTGTTATGGTGCTGATCAGTAAAAGAAATGTTAAAATCGAGATTATGTTATATTGTGTTACAATTTTAGATGCTACATGCTACAAAAAAAATCTTGCAGTCATGTAGCTAATCATACATATTATGAAGGTTATCTGAATGATTATTTAAACAATGGATCAAAAAAAGAAATGGCTTGTAGACAGATTTTTCATGTAAAGTTGCAGATTGGTTCCCAGAATTCTAGAGTTTAGAGAACATTAAGGACACATTCTCTTAAACATCATTCACAACTTATTATGATGGAGAAAAAAGCTCTGTTTTTGGGAAGGGAAATTTTTCCAAAGCCAAAAATTGTTATTTGGAAATATGGTGAACAGTTGTTTTGTGTCATAGGCCTATAGCTTTTTGTGATATGGAATAACAGCTGGAACACTGTATTGGCGAATGAAAAGCCAGAAACAGACCTATCCGTTTCCCAGTTCAAAAATCAGATATTTCTCAAACCTCGTGAAATGCATGGCTTCAACAGTGTTGGTTGAAGCTCTAGTCTAGAGTAACATCATAGACGAGTAGAGTGCTGTTAGTGTAATCGAGACGTCAGGTTTGCTTTACTCCAGCCTGCAGACATGAATGCCATTATTTTCCACAACAGATCCTGTGAAGAAAAGCGTGTTGGGCACAGCTCTCAAGACCTCGAGGAGTAATAGAGAAGATTATGGGAAAAATAGAATAGAACATAACAGAATTAGAATAGAATATGGGGTGGGAAAAATAACAAGCTTCTGCTTCATTCCGCTCCTTTCAGACATATTGCAATTATTGCTTATAACACTTTTTTATATATTTTATTTTTGTCAGAAAGAAAGAAAAAACAAACGAACACACCCTTACAAAGTGTTTCCCTAAAGCAACTGTAGGTAATTTTCTCATTAACACGAAAGAGAAAATTGATATTCAGCTCTATTGACTCTAGGCTGATATAATACCATCCTGGAATCTTTAACCTCTTTAGCTTGCAGCCTAAACGACAAAGTATATTCCTATATTAAAATCACCATGAGCTTCCCCTCCCTCTTGCAGCTCTTCTCTTCTGTTTACTGGCGCGAGGGCGGGGCAACCTGTCACTCACATGAGATCAACCAATAGCAAACCACACCTTCATCCAACCATCCAATCAAATCCACGTGAACAAATCATGCCCTACATCTGTTCTTGTTTGAGAAGCCGTTTCACTCGGCTGCACGTCACAATAGGGAAGAAAAGACTATCGCAACTTCCGTTTCATGCCGACTTTAAGGGGAGAATGGGATTTTACAACTAAAATGTAACAGGTCTTTATGGAGAAAATACTTTTTAACGTTTTTTTTTTTTTAATTATTATTATTAGGCCTATCTGCTGTAAAGGTCAGTGTCATACTGTATGACACTGGGCTACTACTGGGTAAGTTCCTGGATCAACATTCATATCAACCGAAAAGATTCATATTTGTATGTATATTTTGTTCATGGGAATTAATAAATATTCTTATCAACCCGTTTCACTCTGATTTTAGAGGAAAGTATGTGGTTGTATATACATCAAGCTTAGTTGCGAATTGATTTCAATTTGGTTCAATTTCCATTCTGCAGGTTTTTGAATCCTGAAGCAGACAAAGTCAGTCAGAATCTGACTCATGTTCTGGGTGAAACTCGGTGCCAATAGGGAACCGGTTCCGACGTAAACGGTAGTAACCAGACCGAATAAGAACATAGGTTACACCAGTAACCACAGATGTTCTCTTCATAGGTTCACTCAACGCTGCGTAGCTAAGATCAGTGGATTTGTATTTGTAGGCTGCTGTATCATGTGCCATTTAAACTGACGCGCTACAGCGATCTGTCACATTTCAAAGAGCCAAAACGTTATTTATTGTGTGATCTCGTAAAAATATTGACAGAATCTGACAGCTGTGGATTTGTTCCATATTAAAAGTAACCTTCTCTGTCTTGTCTGTCGGTGTCAGTGTCCTCTTTGTCCGGGATTTTTCTGTGTGAAAAGGGTCAATTGCGTGAGTCTCACGGTCAATGCGTGAGAGTTGGCAGCTCTGCCTGCTAGTAATCTCTATTAATCTCCAGTATTATTACATTGTTTGATACAATATTGTTTTATTTGATATTATGTAAATGTGAATTTTTATTTTATATTGGTTTTATTATTATTTGTATATTGTTTAAAGATTTAAGTTAATATTGTGTCCAGTTTGGCCCTGTAAATAAAAGGGTATTATTTTTTGATAAAGTGTGTGCGGTTTCGTTTTCAAGAACCGTTTAGGCACCGGAACCGTTTAAAAAATACCGAGTAGGTACTGGAATCGGATAAAACCCAACCGATACCCAACCCTACTCATGAGAGAGCTAAATCTGAATGAATGTCAACTAGGACACTTGGGATTGAAGAAACTTGTCCCTGTACTGGAGGATAAGGGTTCAAGACAAGTATAGAGATGTCGATTCAAGAGCCCAATCATAGCTTCACATTTTTAAACCTCTCGCTTTGATAACGTGTGATTTGATCTGTATAGTGTGTGAACTCTTTCCTCTGTGAGCGGAGAAAAGATCTGAGAGCTGTGAAATTACAATTATTTTGCTTAAAGGGAAATTGACTTCAGTGGATCGAGTTGTTGAGTATTTCGCTGCCATCCACAGGTTACATGAAGTATCGCAGGCTCTTTGATTGGGCCGTTCTGGTTATATAACACATCAAATAGCCGTTTTGCCAATTACTTCAAATACCAATCATTTATAGTTTTTTACTACACTTGTTTTGCTTAATCAATTGACGTTACCACCACATCGGAAAGCTACACTATCATACAAAAGTTGGGGTATTATATTGTGAAATATTACAATTTTAAAGAACTGTTTTGCATTTGAATAGACTGTAAAATGTAATTTAGCTGAATTTTCAGCATCATTACTCCAGTCTTCAGTGTCACATGATCCTTCAGAAATCACTCCGATATGATCTGAAGCTCAAGACACATTTCTGATTATTATCATCAGTGTTGAAAACAGTTGTGCTGCTTCATAGTTGTGGAAACCGGTGAATAAAGTAAAACAAAAAACAGCATTTATTTGAAATAGAGCTTTAGAAACTGTTTAAATGCCTTTACTGTCACTTACGGTTGCTGAATAAAAGTGCCAATCCTTTTTTTTTTTTTAATAAATAAATCTTGCTTAGCCCAAAGAGTGTATTTTGCTTTATAAAGAACACCATAAATAGAAAAAAATAAAACTGCCATCCTTTGGTCTAATACTCAGAGAAACATGTCGTTCTACTTTACATACGGCTGAGTTATAAAAAAAAGAGGTGAAAAGGTTTAACAGGTTTGACATCACATACCTGCCATTTCACACCCCATATATCACGCAACAGAAACACACAACATCTTTAAAGCGTTTTATTAGGCACAAGGCGGGAGGGAGTTGTGTTTTACAGTAAAGCCCTCTCTCTGAGTGTTTGACCTGGCCTGGGATCAGTTCCAGATCCACTCCAGTTAAACCACCATCAACATGACATCATCACCACACATCATCCTACAGACCCCGAGCTCAGGACACACCGCCGGCCTCTGGGATGTAAGTGTTCGTTTACGTTTGGTTATTGATGATGTCACATTGCACTTCCCTTTTTTTTTTTTCTTCTTCTCATTACACGATTGACAGTGGCGTTCCTCGTTTTGATCTCACAGCTTTCGCTCACTGCAGTAACGGATACACGCAGTGGAAGTGGCCCAGGTTCTGGCAGGACTTGAGCCAGCGCTGTACGTTGGCAGGAGCCGAGCTGCCCTCGCCGGTCTGCAGGACGCAGCAGGCGCACACCACGTCGGCCAGGGAGAACGCCTCGCCCAGAAGCCACGGAGAGCGTCCCAGAGCCCCGTTTAGTGACCTCAGCACGGCCGCCCGCTCCTTGTTGCCCCCCTCGGCCAGCTGGAACACCGCCGTGTCGATCCAGCTGTCCATCTGCGTGGCGGAGACCGGGTCCTGGGGGTCGGCGCCCAAAAGACGGAAGAGGAAGCGCGCCACGTTGGCCTCGCCCTCGATCGGGCACATGTTCTGTGTGCTGAACTTCATCTGCAGCTTCGACACTGAAACCAGACGAGACCACACACAACGATTAACCAAACACTGCAACTACATTTTGTATAACACTTTATGCAGCTTATGGGTAATATACAATAAAAGGTGCTCTATGTAACTTTTCTACTAAAATGAATCCTTTTTTTGTTGTAATCACACATTAAAATGATCCACTTGTCGAGTTTTGCTATTTCCTCTGAAGGCCAGTATTCCTATTTCTATGTGAGGTTTCCGGGTCGGATTTACCGCGAAATCCAACGGATGTGACGTGCACGCGCGCTCCCGAGCCTCTCTCCTTATATACAGTCAATATACAATTGTAGACGGTCAGGGAGTTACGTCCGGTTAAAGGCGCACGTTTTTCGGCTTATATCTCAGTCAATCTTTGATCAATATTCCCAACACTCTAATCGGTCGTAGTGCTGGACGGGGCCTTTCGAACGAGCCCACCCCCGAGGTCCAACTCGCCCGGCTCCCCGAGTTATAGCCGTTCGAAATCGGGGGTCCCAGCGAACGGCGATCCGGTAGGGGGCATCCCCGAAGCCCGCCACTCTAGCGTTCGGGCAAGGGTTCCCCTGGGACCTCCTCCCCCGTATTTGAGCTCTCTGGGTCTTTGCGTTCCAGAGATACGAGCGATTTTCTTCTGAGGTCGTGACGTCACCGGCGTCCGCAATTTTGCAGCGCGCCCGATGGTTTTCTGCTAATATCTCCGCGAAAACACCACCAAAAACTATGGAACTTATATGGTTCTTTTCAGCTCGACTAGATGGTCCCAACGAGCTCGGTGCTCGCCGAATCCGTCTAGTATTCGCCGAGATAATAATACGTAATAGACGGTATTGTCTATGAGTTCGAGCACTAGCGCTCTAAAATTTGGTTGCAATCTGAAACATCACCACTAGAGGCCGCTAAAAGTTACATAGAGCACCTTTAAGCGAACATAATTTTGGGTTACACTTTATTTTAAGGTGACTTGGTCAAATACGTACTGGGTAATATTAATTAACTACATGTACTTATTATAGAGTTACATTTCGGGTTAGTAATTATGCATCATTTGCGGTTATTATTACTATAGTAAGTATAATGTAATAACGTCACCTTAAAAAGTGCTACATAAATTTCTTAAAAAAATGGTGCTTTTGTACGGAAGCGTATTGCGTTCACTTGAGGAAAAAAAATCTACTCTGTTTTTCTGAATTAACGAGTTCATTATCTCAGAATTACGAGATAATTTATGGAAAAAAGTTTTTGCTCTGTTTTTCTGAATTAATGACTTAATTATCTCAAAATTATGAGTAACTCATTAATTCATAAAAACAGAGTGAAAAAAAATGTTTTTCAAGAAAAACTTCTCTCATAATTCTGAGATATTAACTCGTTAATTCAGAAAAACAGTAGATTTGTTTTCCTCAATTGAATGCAATACGCTTCCGTAGTTTTGCCAGGATATTTTCCCCCATTTTCCTCATAGGATAAATGGTAACACTTTACAATAAGGTTTTATTTGTTAATATTATTTATCTATATCAGTTAACTTTATTTTAAGGCGACGTAGTATTATTAATTAACTACCGGTACATGTACTGACTATTGAGTTGGGGTTATTTGTAATTATGCCTAATTTACTGTTGTTATTATTACTATAGTAAGTACATGTAATAACTTAAAATAAAGTGTTAAAAAAATGGTTCTTGTTTGTTGGCTAGGGTATTTTCCCCCATTTTCCTCATCGGATAAATGGAAACACTTTACAATAAGGTTTCATTAGTTAATATTAGTTAACTACATCAGTTAACACAAACTAACAATGAACAATACATCTACAGCATTTATTAATCTTAATTAGTGCGCGATTAATCGCATCCAAAATAAAAGTTTGCGGTTACATAATATGTGTGTCTGTACTGTGTATAATTATTTTGTATATATTTAAGAAATATGTCTCATTTATATATATAATATAAATTATGATTAAATATATATACATGCAAATATTTCTTAAATATATACATGCATATGTGTATTTATATATACAAAATATTTATGCACAGTACACACACACACATTATGTAAACACAAACGTTGATTTTGGATGTGATTATTCGTTGCCCCGCACTAATCTGAACATTTACAACATTTTTTAAGATCCAAAGTTGCATCTGTTAAGTAAACATGACATTTGTTTTATTACCTGACATTCGTAAATGCTGTAAAAAATATATTTCTCAGTGTTTATGTTGCATTAACTAACAAATGAGACCTTATTGTAAAGAATAATATTTCACAGTATTGTACTGTGTTTTTGGCCTTGGACTTCTTTCAAAAACATTAACGCTCCCAAACTTTGAACTGTACTGTACCTTTATTATTATTATTATTAAATCGAAATCACACCGACTTTAGGTTTCCATGAAAGCATTGCCAAAAATCGTGTCTACAGAGAAAATGAACGTTTGTAGAAATGTATGATGGAAACCCAAGATCTCACTGTACTGTAATATGTAGGACGGTGCCTTCGAGACGTCCCATGAAATTTAAATGTTGAAAAGTTAAGCAGACCACACACCAAGCACACTTTCAAAACTTCAGTCTTCAGGCTTTTTGCCTTCAATATGTCAGTGACATGCTCTCACCATCTTTCCATATGAGAGTGAAGCCGAGCTGAAAGCGCTGGCGTGCGTAGCTGTCTGTGTGTCGCGGGCCCAGGCAGGACATGAGCGGCGGGGGCACGGCGGGCACGGAGGAGTGCAGGTGCACGCTGGACAGCACCTGGTACCGCCGGCACAGCAGACCGTGAAGCACCAGCAGCGACAGAGGAGGACGGGCCGGGTGGGCGTTGATCACGATGTCCCGCAGCGCGCCCAGGTCCTGCAGGACAGCGAGGAACGGGTCAGTTCAGCACGTTTGAAGACTTACAAAACGTGAATCCATTTCAAACCGACTCGTAATGTATCACTCATTTGTTGTGAATCTCATGCTTTGGTTCACAGCAGAAGCTTGTGACGGAAATCTCACAATTCGGACTTTTTTTTGTATTATTTTGAACATTACTCCAGTCTTCAGTGTCACATGATCCTTCAGAAATCATTCAGATATGGTGATTTGATTATCAAGAAATATTTCTGATTATTATCAGTGTTGAATACAGTTGTGCGGCTTCATAATTATGGAAAAAAAGAAAAATATTTTTGTGATATAATTGTGAGATTTTAGTTCGAACAAAAACTATCTGAATTCCTTTTATATTTTTTTTTCTTCCATTTTACAAGCATCCACATTCAAATAAAAATCAATTGAGATAAAATACTTCTCAGTTAGGGCTGTGCGACAGTCAGTGACAAATAAATATAAAAAGCAACCTCATAACTTGAATTATAGAGGTCATCATAACTGCATTTAAAGGAATAGTTCACTTAATTTAAATTCTGTCATCATTTACTCGCACTCAAGTTGTTTCAAACCTGTATGAACTTTTGGTAACACTTTACTTGAAGGGGTGTGCATAAGACTGACATGACACCTTCATAATCATGACATGACACATGTTATGAATATGAAGGAAGTTTTATGCATGTTTGTGACAACTGTCATTAAGTGTCATTCACTCAATTATGACATTTTTAATGCAAATATGACATTGTTTGAGATGTCTTTGTTATGACACCTTGACATAAACCAATACATCATAACCTGTCAGTCTCTTTGTCATGACAACTTGACATTACTAAGACAACACAACCTGTCATAAACATGACATAGCAGATGAATTATCAAACTTAAGAATCCACTTAGCTTTATTGGTTAACATTACATTAAACTGTCATGTGGTTGGTGTTGACATTGGCTGTCATGAGGCCATTATAACTGTTTAATGATAAATTCAATGTGTACCACTGTAGTTGAGGTCACGAAAAATATTCATGACACAGTTATAATGGCCTCATGACAGCCAATGTCAAAACCAACCACGTGACAGTTTAACTTAATTTAATGTCAAGTTGTCATGACAAAGACACTGACAGGTTATGATGTATTGGTTTATGTCAAGGTGTCATAACAAAGACATCTTAAACAATGTCATATTTGCATTCAAAATGTCATTATTGAGCGAAAGACACTTAATGACAGTTGTCATAAACATGCATAAACCCTACTTCATATTCATGACATGTGTCATGTCATGGTTATGAAGGTGTCATGTCAGTCTTATGCACACCCCTTCAAGTAAAGCATTACCGATTTTCTTCTGCTGAACACAAAGAAAGATATTTTGAAGAATGTCAGTTGACGGACCACATTGACCTCCATAGTATTTTCGACATTTGACATTCTTCAAAATATCTTTCTTTGGGTTCAGCAGAAGAAAGACATTCATACAGGTTCGAAACAACTTGACAGGATTTTCATTTTTGGGTGAACTATTTAAAAACATTAACTACCTTTAAAACATCACAATTTCAGAATCAATCCCACATTTCAATACAGGTGCAGCAAACAAACACAACCGGGTTAACTGGATTGACATGTTTAGACTGGCGTGTTTAGGCATGCTTGAGGAAAACATCTGAGTTTGAACCATCCAAATGTAACTTAAAAAATGTCCTGGCTCTTCCAAGCTTTATAATGGCAGTGAATGGCCGTTTATGTTTTGAAGTCCATCAAAGTTCAAGTGTTAATCTTTTGGCGTAAGTCGACTTCCGTACGGCCGTCTGCCGGAAGCTAATTATTTTAGTCGATAAAGTTTTAAATATGGATATTTTTCTTACACAAGCGCATCGCTTCGCTTCAGAAGGCCTTTATTAACCCGCCAGAGCAGTGTGGAGCACTTTTATCATGGAGAGATGCACTTTTATCATGGATAGATGCACTTTTATCATGGATAGATGCACTTTTATCATGGATAGATGCACTTTTATCATGGATAGATGCACTTTTATCACGGATAGATGCACTTTTATCACGGATAGATGCACTTTTATCACGGATAGATGCACTTTTATCACGGATAGATGCACTTTTATCATGGATAGATGCACTTTTATCATGGATAGATGCACTTTTATCATGGAGAGATGCACTTTTATCATGGAGAGATGCACTTTTATCATGGAGAGATGCACTTTTATCATGGAGAGATGCACTTTTATCATGGAGAGATGCACTTTTATCATGGATAGATGCACTTTTATCATGGATAGATGCACTTTTATCACGGATAGATGCACTTTTATCACGGATAGATGCACTTTTATCACGGATAGATGCACTTTTATCACGGATAGATGCACTTTTATCACGGATAGATGCACTTTTATCATGGATAGATGCACTTTTATCATGGAGAGATGCACTTTTATCATGGATAGATGCACTTTTATCATGGATAGATGCACTTTTATCACGGATAGATGCACTTTTATCATGGATAGATGCACTTTTATCATGGATAGATGCACTTTTATCACGGATAGATGCACTTTTATCACGGATAGATGCACTTTTATCACGGATAGATGCACTTTTATCATGGATAGATGCACTTTTATCACGGATAGGTGCACTTTTATCACGGATAGATGCACTTTTATCATGGAGAGATGCACTTTTATCATGGAGAGATGCACTTTTATCATGGAGAGATGCACTTTTATCATGGATAGATGCACTTTTATCACGGATAGATGCACTTTTATCATGGATAGATGCACTTTTATCATGGAGAGATGCACTTTTATCATGGAGAGATGCACTTTTATGATGGATAGATGCACTTTTATCACGGATAGATGCACTTTTATCACGGATAGATGCACTTTTATCACGGATAGATACACTTTTATAATGGAGAGAAGCACTTTTATCATGGAGAGATGCACTTTTATCATGGAGAGATGCACTTTTATCACGGATAGATGCACTTTTATCACGGAGAGATGCACTTTTATCACGGATAGATGCACTTTTATCACGGATAGATGCACTTTTATCACGGATAGATGCACTTTTATGGACTTCAAAACATAAACAGCCATTCACTGCGATTATAAAGCTTGGAAGAGCCAGGACATTTTTTAATATTACTCTGATTGTATTCGTCTGAACGAAGAATGTCATATACACCTGGGATGGCTTCAGGGTGAGTAAATCATGGGCTAATTTTCATTTTTGGGGGAACTATCCCTTTAAGGTAAACAATTAAAATGCCTAATGGTGCATGTAAGGCTGACCTTGCCCAGTAGGGAGTCTAGATCAGCGGTTCCTCTGAACACAGACTCGACGGGTGCGTGAGAGAGTGTGGTGGCGTCCAGGTCCGCATCAGGAGTGGTCACGGTCTTCGTGAGCCCGTCCACCGTCGCCTTGAGCTCATACAGTCTCCTCAGGACTTCATCCTGACGGTCCTCCAGCGCCTTCACAGCCGGATCCACCTCCCCGTTCTGAGACACACACGAGAAGAGACGGTTTACATGGATCCCCTCTCAAACATACTATTACACACTACAAAACAACATTTGGCTGCATTAAACTAAGTACAAGTGGATCCTAATATATATATATATATATATATATATATATACACACTACAAATCAAAAGTTTTGGATCGATAAGATTTTTAATGTTTTTAAAAGAAGTCTCTTCTGCTCACCAAGTCTGCATTTATTTGACTAAAATACAAAAAAAAAACAGTAATATTGTTAAATATTATGACCACTGCTTTCTATTTTAATATATTTCAAAATGTAATTTATTCCTGTGATCAAAGCTGAATTTTCAGCATCATTACTCCAGTCTTCAGTGTCACATGATCCTTCAGAAATCATTCAAATATGATGATTTGATGCTCAAAAACATTCATTATTATTATCAAAGTTGAAAACAGTTGTGTACAAAAAAAAATTTCCGGGATTCTTTGATGAATAGCAAGTTCAAAAGAACAGAATATTTGAAATATAATCTTTTGTAACATTATAAATGTCTTTACTGTAACTTTTGATCAATTTAATTAATCCTTGATGACTAAAAGTACTGATTTATTTTATTCCTTTCCCCCAACATTTACCGATCCAAAACTTTTGACTGGTAGAGTATATTAGCTAGATCAATTTACCATTTCATCCTCATTTTGTCTAGTATGATACATCTCCTTCCTTAAGTCTCAATGTGGTGTTGTTAGTCGCTGGTAAGCAGTAGTGTATTAAACTAAAAGTGTAATTTCAGAAAGTTATAATTAGAGGGCCAACCTCTCATTCTAGAGCACAAAACACTGCAGCTGTCAATCATACATGTGTGTATATTACATCAGACAGAATGACACTGAGAGTTGCAATATCAGTCTGTCTGATGCAACAGAGATACTGTGTATCATACGCATTTTCATCATTTAGTGCTGGTGTGTGTGTGTGTGGCATCTGAATGGTGAATTGATCGTTAATGTGATTACCTGAAGCGCGTGCTCGCTGCAGTTCATTCCCTGCGCGTGGACATTCGGTAACTTGTACATGCACGTCGGCAAATCAATCTTTATGTCACCGGGACTGACGGGCTTTACCTGGTACATGGGCATGATGACGGGTGACCAACGCACTCCAGTGCCAAAAATAAAAGCACGGGATCCAGATATGTTTGTTTTTTTGACGGGGTTTGTCCGTCTAGCAGCCAGCTAACAGTAGCCGAGTGGAGAGAAGAGGCCGCCACACGTCATTTCCGGTGAGGGTGAAAGCACCAAAGCACGCGGTGACGACAGAGGCTGAAATCTGCTTTGTTTTTTTAACATTTTGTTTTTAGGATTTCTTAAAATAATAGTTAGATATCAGAAGTCTTTGGCAAAGACTTGCTTTAGTTAATTCAGAACTGGCTGATTTTGAAATTGTGTAGACTTGTACCAAAATATAAAACTATGCTATAATTATATTAAACGATATTATATTTTATTATATTATGTTATATTATATTATTTATATTACATTATATTATATAATGTTATATTATATTATATAATGTTATATTATATTACATTATATTATATAACTTTATAATACATTACACTAAATTATATAATGTTATATTATATTTAATTACATTACATTATATTATATTATATTATGTAATATTATATAATGTTATAGTGTATTATATTACATTATATACCTTTATTAGTTGGGGGCCTTAAGTATATTTTCGCGCAAATTCATCTAAAAGCGCCAAATATGGCACAGATGTAGCTCACATCATACTGAAATGATTTAGCTAGGGCGCCGGTGTGGTGAATAATCCGGTCACTCGGTGTAAATAGTCCGGGTGTAGGACACAAGCAATCCGATTGGTTCAAAGCACGTTTTATAGGTAATCGCTTTGGTGCCTGGTTACAAATCATACAAAATCACTTTATTATAGAAGACGTTTGTACTACGGTATAACGAGTCATTAATGTATTTTAAATTATACGTTTCATATACTAGTATTTAACCGAAGCTATAGATTGTGAAAATAAACATTTCTCGTTGTTAGTGTGTTTTTTAGTTAGCTTAGTAGCATAGCATACAGCTAACGTTATCCGATGATCGTGCTATGAGCTTATACTGCACTGATACTGCCTTACCGTATTCACAGCAGTTAATAGTGCGATTATAATTCATTATTTTTTAAGCAATAATCGGCACAATATGCTACAGGTACACTTTTATTTATTAAAAGAGCCATAACATAATGTTTATTTGTGTATATTACTATTTTCTTATTAACAGTTTAGACATAAATAAATAAATTACAGAATGCTAGCTATGTTTTGTGGGTATAAATATTTAATTGGTTGTCAAGCCTTGACTAAAGAACAGTATAATAACATTATGGAATCACAAATCTTAATGTAATCAAACACCTTAATTCATATAATAATCTTTTATTTTAAAGAAATACCATTTTTAAGTGTGTTTTGTGACAAAGTTATTTGTTATTAAGCAATAGGGCATAATATGCTTTTTTTATTACAAGCATGTCATTTGTGTACTAATGCATTATGATTTATGGCATAATATAATCTTAATACAGAACATCATACAACACAATAACATTTAATGTAATAAAATTAGTGAACCAAAACTTGTATAAAATTGTAATTAAATTTCACAATACATAATGAATTCAACTGAATTAATTATGAGATGTAATATATTAAATTTTTATTAACACAAAACTACAAGCAAAATGCACATCGTTTTAGGACATTTATAGAGCTTTCACAACAATACAAAGCAGCTTTAAACAGAAACACTTTTGTATGTCTTTACTTTCCTAAATACTTTTGTGATAGTTCTCTGGCTATACATTGTGAAGATTTAAAAACAATTAATGTCGAGTTAGCTGTGTTTAAATATTTAATGAACTGTAAGGTTAAAGTTTGAGAACTAATGAGACACAAATAGATGCAGTGTCTTTTGCTGTATGAAAAGTCAAATCTTTAGTTTGAAGTAAATTCATGTTGTATATGCAGTCAATTCTTTGTGGAACCATCCTAAGGCCTAGATGATGCAGTCAGTCAATTTCCCCTTTAGATGGTGGGGTCGTGACCTGGTAGGCGAGGAGGTGTCATGGACTGGCTTGAGGGAACTCTGCAAAAAACCACGTTAAAAATGGGTTTCAATGTTTTTACTTGGATCTGCAAGCCCAAAGGTGCAACGCAGCAGAACGTAGTTAGCTCGTTGAACCTGGGGTGTCATAGATGGACTGGCTTGAGGGAACTCTGCAAAAAAACACATGATTGGGTCGTGACCTGCAAAACACACAAACATGCTGTAACACGTGCATTTGTACACGCAAAGTCTGTTGTGCTGTGTAACATCACTCACTGTTTTTACTTAGATGGGCAAACTGGAAGGCACAACGCAGCAGGCGTAGTTACCTCGCTGAACCTTGTCGTCATTTCCCCTTGGTATGATTGGGTCGTGACCTGCAAAACACACAAACATCCTGTAACACATGCATTTGTACACGCAAAGTCTGTTGTGCTGTGTAACATCACTCACTGTTAGGATGTTGTGACATTACAAGGCCATTTTAATGACACACTCCACAAGATAAGATATCTCAGCCCAAAATTGACTGAAACCTTCCATTCGTCTCAGTATTATAAGGCTGATCTGAACAACAGAAGATTCAATTTCTTAATTAAAATATATACTATATAGTATATATTTGTACCAAAATGATACCTTAAATTGCATACCTCAGGAATCAGTTCACACATTACAAGGTAATTATGTTCAAGCTTTTTTTCCTTCTTTTGCTTAAACACAATGTTGTCAATGTGTCCTAGAAGTTCCTCAACATGTGCTGACAAGGCTGGATGAAAGCTCTTTGGTTGTGACATTTTCCCAGTCTTCGTTTGCCACCATTTGTTCCACGTAGGTTTCAGTGAGCCTTTCACAATTCCTTGGAACAACTCCTGAAAAAAATATTTAATATAGCAAACAATATCTAGCCATTTTAAGTTTTGTAAAGTCTTATATGTACCTGAATTTCAGTATCACTGACAAGAGAACAAATTCCCTTTTTTTCCACCTCCTCGACTGTCCTATATTTGAAAAATCATCGATCTACTTGATCTAAATTACACTTTTATGTTGATTTATTTGAATGAGGACACACATTTTACACATACCTTTTATACGTCATATGCTGAACAGCATATGCTGCCATTGATGATGCGTGATATCTTCTCAGATGCCACAGATCGTCTCCCTGTATCACGTCGTTTTTCATAGAGGTCCATTTGTCCCTCACCTCCATTTCTGCCATCTAATGCAATAAACACAGTTGTTAAAGTAATGTAGCTAAAAATAAATAATAAAATAAATAAATAAAAGCATTTGTTTAACTTACTGTACAAACCAAAACCCCACAGTTGTTAGAGTCAGCCAGCCTCCACTGTTCTGGGTACTCAACAGTCCATTTTCCCAAGTCCCAAGTATTTCGGAAGGCATTGCTTTTGTAAAATAGAAAAAAGAAATTAATAAATGTACATTAGTAAATAAAGATAACAATTTTGACATTTACAAAGCACATAATACCATAGTATAGCCAGGTCCATCGCAGAAATCGACTTGTAGTTGCCAGTGGGGTCGTAAACGCGAATACGATTCAGCAAACCATCCAAGACCTTTACAACGAACATAAACAGAAACCGCTGTAACCAGAGTAACAACTGTTGAGCAAAAATGTAAACATTTTTTTTATCCATACATACCCACAAAATGAAGTGGTTTCCCTTTTCGGGGCTCTGTCCACCAACAATTCTTGGAATAAGGACTGTGTCAATCTCACCAAGGTCCTTTAAAATGTTTTTAAGTAAATAAGTAAGTAAATGTGTCCCCTGCCCCTGAAATTTATTTGATAGATTTTCATTTACCTTCAGACAAGAAATGTGACTGTCATCCACATGTTTCTTGATAGTGAAGGATCGCCACCAGAGAACGAACGTGTGCACCTGTAAAGCAGTTCCACCATGTGCTTTACAGAGCTGTGCAATCCTTGTGTCAAGAATCTAAAAGAAATAGTAGATGTCAATAAAAATTTTGTTGAATAATATAAGAAGTACATATAGGAGGTTCCTGTACAAACGACCATACAAATAAGCTGCCATTGGACGGATATGGAGGGCTCGCCTGAGTCCCAAAATTTCTCCAATTATGCATTCATGTCTATGTCTCAGCACCCTCTAACAGAATCCACGTTTTCGAGAATATCCAAGAAACTTTATTTTTCCACCCAAAAAAACTATAAGGTACACGTACCCCTTATAGATATTTTGGGTCTAAAAAAAAAGTTTCTTGGATATTCTCGAAATCTTGTATTCTGTTAGAAGGTGCCGAGACATGAATGCATGATTGGAGGCTCTAGAGCCTTCCAGAGCTGAGATATGGAGATCCCACAAAGCATTTATTCCATTGGGGCAAATAGAGACTCGCATACAGTGAAATTTTGGGATTAAAATTTGGCCCTTTTGCAGCTTTTTGTTTGAACAAAGACATCTCACACAATGTCATATTTGCATTCAAAATGTCATAATTGAGCGAATGACACTTAATGACAGTTGTCATAAACATGCATAAAAACTCCTGCATATTCATGACATGTGTCATGTCAAGATTATGACGGTGTCATGTTAGTCTTATGCACACCCTTTCAAGTAAAGTGTTACCAATGAGGAACTAATCTTTTATAAAACATGAATATGCGTTTCATACGGGGTTAATAAATAAAATAAAAATGTGTATGTATGTAGTTAGAGGGTGCAGAAAGCGTTGTAAATGCCTTGAATGCACATACAGATAATTTTTATGCACATACAGATAATTTTTAACGGGTAAGTGTTTTTTGTAAAAGGTAAATGTAACACATTAACAAGTAATTAATAGTTTACACTTTAGATTGGGGGATGCAAAAAGTGTTGTAAAATATTTATTAATGCGTTTACACATCTATAACAGGTGTTGAACACTGTAGTGTGTAGTGTCGTGTGCACTGCAATGTAAGTGCTGACTGGTGAGGGTATAGACAGCTGTCTTCTCTGAAACACAAGAATCTAACCACTGTGCACCTAATGTGAGCAAAACATACAAAAAATTTAACATAATGAACATTTATGAGACGCATAGTCATATTTTGTAAATTATTAGTTAATCATTAACTAATCAATTGTAAATGACTTGT